TATATATATATATATATATATATATAAATTAAGTGCCAAGTTGTTTGTCCGCGATGGACTCCTAAACTACTTAACCAATTTAAATTAAATTTGCACACCGTGTGCAGTTTGGTCCAACTTGAGAGGTAGGATAGTTTTTTTTCCCCCCGAAACGGGTTGCCTTGTCGGGGGTTAGAATTTAGCTTGGTCACCCACGGCGAAACAAAGAGGAACCCATATGGCTGGTCCGAGGTGGAGGGCCGGCCCGAGGTGGCCACTCCGAGTGGGCTTGGGAAGCCCACTTCGGATGTGTGTTGGTGGACTGCGGTGAGAGGTGTGTCCTCCCCACCTACCGCTGCAGCCGAGGTGGAGTCGCGGAGGAAGAGGAGTGTTGGTATGGCGATGCGCCACTCGCCCTATCCTCCGCGACTCAAACGGGGCCGCACCGTTGATGCGGTGGTGATGGGGCTGCGGGGGGGAGAGGATTGTCGGTATTGCGAGGCGCCGCTCTCCCTATCCTCCGCAGCCGAATCTTGGTTGGCGGCGGAGCCATAGACCAGATCCGCCGCTGGGGTCGGGAAGGCTAGTACTTCTAAGTGCTCGTTTTTCCTGGCCCCATGGCCTTCGCGCATCGGACGCGGGGGCGTCTGTTGCGCAGATGTAATTGGAGGCGGTGGAGGAAGGCGTGCCATGTGTTCTGGTGCGCCTTACTTGGCAAGGAGAACGGGGAGGAATATTCCTCTCCCGATGAGGTGCTGCCATGGGGCGGCAGTCGCTGGTGGGGCCGCGGAAGTGTGCGAAAGCGTTCCCGTAGCCCTGCCAATATGCGACGAAGGTGGAACACCATGGGGTTTTAGTCGGTGCGAGTCCGACATAACCCGTCCTTGCCCCCGCGAGGCGGGTATGCGTAGGCATTTCCCCATGTTAAAAAGAAAAGGATAGTTTTTTTGCCCATGAGTGACCCACAATTTTTTTTGCTAATTTATAGATTTTTAATGATGATGATGGACATGACAAAGGGTCGTCGAAAAGGGCAGAACAAAGACATCTAAATAATAAGGCAATAGAAGTCTTAAAAGCTGTGACCTTGTCGCCGCTCATGTGACTCGTAGGCCACAATCGCGTAAGGAGCGTTTGTTTCGGTCATTAGTATTATTCGGGACGCAGAAACGTAAAAATGGAGTTTTGAAGCATATCCAACTGCGGAAATTCTTCCACAACTTGCAAGCTTTCAAATAAAAGGATCATAAATAAGTACTTAGAGTTTGAAATAATGTTGTTTTTAATGAAATATACTTAAGTAAAATTATTCACCTCCAGTACTACGATTGACTCCGAAAATTGTTTTCACACATATCCACTGATTCTTAAGCTAGTTCGTGTCTACGAGTACGACAGCTAAAAGCAGCGATGGATTTATAGTATGGGCAAGAAACAATATTGATGCGTACGTAAATTTCCAAGAACACGGCCGCAGGAGTCGAGCGCGAGACAGTGGCGTGACACTACCACTTTATATCGATAATTTATTACGTTTGGCTTACCCAGTTTTAACAAAACGGGAATTAAATGTGATTTTTCGTTAATTATTTACACCTTTCTACTTTTTTTCTTTCTAAATATTTTGTAACGTTAACCGTTTATCGGCGATTATTTGTTTGTTTGTACTTTTAAATTACTTGATAAATTTGTAATCAGTTATATTGTAAGGGTAAGTAATTATAAAATGATATATATATTAATTTTATTTATTTATTTGTTTGCTGTTTGTATAATGTTGTATTCATTTTATTTATACATCTGTTATTTAATACAACAAATTCCAGGTTTCCAAAAGATCCGGATATTAAAGATCGGATATACTTATCCTTAACGTTTTATTATATCTTCTTTTCTCTAGTTAAAAAAGCGTCTATTACTAAAAGCGTCTAATACTGACACACTTTCAGTTTATTAGTTATATCTTAGTGTGAGACTCCTGGGTCATCAAAGACGCCGTTAATGTTTAATAGAAAGTTACCGAAACGTGCGCTGCGCTGCACTATGCCCAAGTGAGAGTGAGCGCGCAATGTCATTCTCTGTTTTTCGCACACGTTAATTATTGGACCAAGTGGCTACGCCTCCTGAGATTTTGCGTTTTTATAAAATATTCCTCAACGCAATAATTTATAGTTTAATCTTTGTTGCATGAATGCTAGAGACATGTGTAGGCGAAATTGTGTATTTATTGTTTGTCTATGTGTGTTAGCTGCGAACCAGTGACACGCGTCCCAATATTAAGACAGTAGAAGGCATTTCTAGTACCTTATTATTTAGATTTCTGTGGGACAGAACAACGTCTGCCTGGCAAGCAAGTAGGTATATAAAAATGTATGCAAATAAAGTGTTATATTTTGTTATGTTTTATTGAACGATTGAAAGAGAACAATATCTTTCAAGAATAATAAAGCCATAAGTAAGGTAATATCTAAAAGCATAATAATGTATATGAACGCACCGACGCTCCACTGAGGAGTGAGCGGCACCCTTTTTTTTGAAAGTTTATGCTGTTCGCACTGCGGCCTGTACAGCTTCATCTATATAGACTCGTTAGCGAATACTTAGGAGCTACTGTGTGCAACGATTCTAGTATTCTTCTTTTCTCTGAGTAGTCCCTACTTTCGGAGTGAGGCATCTAAAACTAGGGAGGGGGGGGGGAGATGTGATTCAAGAGCCCCTCATAAGGAGGTATGTACCTCGGCTTGAACCACTACCGCAATGTGGGAAAACGGGCCGAAAAATAAAAACGTCCCGTGTCACGGGTTTTAAACTCTAGCGCTGAATAGAATGTGGAGGGGATAGCTGCGAATGTCGTATCAGTATGGGGGACGGAATATGACTGACGACGCAATATTGCGTAATATGGCCAATTATGCGCAATAACGGTCACCGCTGGACTTTCGCACCACGAGTTGTACGAGATGTTGTGACCTCACGCTCGTCGACAAATGCAGTTGTCCTAGTGTTCTGTACTAGTGCAGTGTCTGAATGTGTGTTGTAGACAATCGAATTCCCTCTCACGTGGAGAACGGGGGTGTGGACCGCGAATTCAAAACGTCGTGGGTTTGAATCCACCATTCGACTACTGTTGTGAAATTATTTTGATTTTCATAAAATAACAAATAAGTAATATTATTTTCGGAATAGGACACTTATCAATGAGTTATAGAAATGCGTTATGTTTTATGCGAAACTTAAATTCGTTAGTAGCCAGGGCCAGAAACAAACTAAATTAAAAACTGTGCCCAATTTGTTTTTTAATATTTGGCGGGAATTTGATTCGTATGCAAAATGGAGAAACTTGACACAACAAGCATTTTAAGCTTTCCAGTAGTGGTTAATTAGCAATTATTAATAAACAGCATTGCTTGTTATCGCTGTGGCCAAAACGCTAAGCCAAAGCCTGTGGGGCTAGGGTTGCCTGATGGTCGGGATTCGTCTGGTTTCTCCCAACATTTTAAAAGATCTTCAAACTCCCGAAAAACTCAAAACAGCTTGTATTAAAATCACAGCTGTTTTTGATTTAATAAAAGCTGAGTTAGTAATTAGACTGAACTTTGAAGTAAATTGTTTGAATTTCAAAGTATTTTCTGAATACTACTAAAGTATCCAAATTGTTGGACTCAGTAAAGTCCAATGAAAAATACATATGGCAACCTAAACATTTTGTGTAGGTATTTAAATTAGTTACGTGTCAATAATTTTAAGTCTTTTTGTAGCCTACTAATTTTAAAAATAAACTTTTTATTTTAGATTTTTATTTTCAACATTAATTTCTTCCGACAACAAGCACATAATCACGACATTTTCAAATTTTGTCCAGATATTTCGGTCTTCCGATCTGGTATTCGTATGTGGGCCTGCGAGCGAGATTCGATCTATGCGCGGTACAAGTACCTACCCTACAAAAAAAAACTATTCTGGGTGTCATGTGCAGTTTTTTTTTCTGCAAAATACTTTGATACGGGAGACAATCCCAATCGGGGTAATATTAAAAAAAATCACGATAACTTTGGATTGGTAATCCAAAATAAAAGATTTTCCTTTAAAGGACTGACTTGAAGGCTCCATAGTCAAGCCGTTTGAACCTATCTAAGGGTCGAAGGATTTCAGATTTTGTTCATATTGATTCGTATCACTCTCAGAGTGTTGTATGCTCTTAGGATTTACCGCGCCATCCTGTATATATTTTCTCGTCTTTAAACTTAGACCAAGATTAGTGGGAAAAGTTTACTTCTCAACTTTTTATTCAGTTTAGTCAAAAACTTATAAAAATACAGGAAGTTATGATGATGTGACACGTAAAGATGTTTTGCCAAAATAAGTTACTTATCTAAAATTTATTGTGCAATTTGTTTCTACTTGTGAGACCTACTACTACTGCGTAAGTCAGGCAGTACGTACCTACTACATATATTTTAGACATATGCAGGAATCGCGTAACATGATAATGAATATTTTACAAGTAATGATATTGTGTTGCATGCTAGGAAACACATGTGACGTATGTAACACCATGTTCTTCTTACGTATGTAACATATTGTATTTCTGTTATTTTTTGTTTTCTTACTTTTGACAAGTGTATTCAGAATTGATAATTACTACACATGCTAAAACGCTAAAAATAATGTTTTATATCATTTACATAGCTTTATGTTTTAATGAAAATATTTTGAATCCAATATTTTTTAATAACCGCTAGTAATGATTATATATATATATATATATATATAATATATATATATATATATATATATATATATATATATATGTGTGTGTGTGTGTTATATATATTATCTAGTTTTTTTGTTGTACTTTTAGCTAGTAAACGTTTTGTTACTAGGTACTTTGACTATCTGTATAAATATTTATTGTTGAATTTATTTATAAATAACAATGACCTATTCAATATACTTATATATTTATATATATATATATATATATATATATATATATATATATATATATATATGTTACTTACCCTCGACTGCTATGCTCTCTTTGACTGTTATGGGCAACCCAAGCAAAGGATATTTTTCTGCCAGTGCTTCAGTGGATCCAGTGTACGCAGCCAGCATTTTATCGATTAGCCTGGCGTCTCTTAAAGCCATGTCGTATCGTGGCTCGACGATTGCATTCAAATACTGATTCACTTCTTTACATCTTTCAATGTAAGCTGACAGTAGTTGCTCTGACTTTAACTGGAAATAAAAGCCCGAATAATCGACTAAAGCCAAATAATAGTTGAAAAAAAAAAAACTAAAACAACACGCATTGATCACCAGCTGTGACGATTCTAGTGAGAATACTAGGCAATATCCATTAAATTGTTGAACTGTCATCAGTCCTCAACAAGTCTGCAAACTCTGCAGTTTCAGGTTATTTAGACATTTGAAAGTGGGTGAAAACTAAATAAAAATGTACCATTACATTCATACATACCAAGCAGTTAGAAACCTACAGACCAAGCTGCTAAAAAACGTGTCAAAATAATGAAGATTTTACTTAGAGCAAGCGAGCTATATATATGTATATTATTATTATTATTATAGGTACTCTAAGAGGTATTACACAAAATTATTGTTGCTGAGTTTTGTAGTAAATCACGAATATTTTAATTCTCAGTTTTGGTTATCATATCTTTTTTCACTTTTGGTTGAGAAATATTTTGTACTTACAAAGGTTACTAGGTTACTATAAAAAGGGAGCTTGGTATGAAAGAAACTCAGATTAATACCAACCTACCCTGATAACACCGATGAAATTATATTACAATTGCATTTTAATGCTGAATTCACATATATCTTACGATGAAGAAATACATAGCGAGGAAAATTTCTTGTTAGTTAAAAATACTACTGACTGGAACAGCTGACAGACGTTTTGCTGTAGTAGTAGATGATAATTTAAAAAATATAAGATTTTATGACAGTAAGTGATATTTAAAAAAAATATTACCGCGCCATAAGTCTAGAATATTGAAATTAAAAGCAAACTGTACGTTACTGTTTGTAATTGCACTGTACTAAGATTTTTTTTAAATAAGTGTTGAAGCACATTTTTTTTATAAAATAAAGGTGGAAAACGAGCACACAGCCCACCTGGATTGTCAGTGGATGCTGTGGTCCATAGACATCTACATTTACCCTCGATTAAGAAACAAAAACCGGATTAAGATAAGATTATAGAGAAACGCCGTTACCACCGAGGACTAAGATAGAATGCCTCGTTTCCAGTAAAAAAGGTCTCCGGTTCTCTACATACACCATAACATTCTGTGAGAGCGTGGTCCTATCCCGATCGAGTTGACCCATTGGTGCTACAACTAATATAGCTGCAGCGTGGAAGCTTCCTTGAGTCAGATGATACTGCTACATACTGGAATTTGTACAAGTTATTTCCGTGTTTATATTTGCGTGTTAGTGTTCCTTATCTAATGTTCAAACACTTTATTTTTTATTGCATGTTATGTCATGAAAAGAAAATGTGATATGGATGTAGAGCTTATCTAAACTGAAATGACGCGCCCCACTACTTAATTAGTTGATTTCGATGTGTGAGTGTTAATAACGACGCTTCATCTGTGTTTGAGCGTCGACTGCTCGCGAACTATGATCTGTATGCCTACGTGACGGTCGACTAGTCGCGTGATAAATCCGACAACGCTCTCCTTAGGGAGCAGCGTTGGGGCATTGTATGAAACAAAACGTCCGCTCTCTGCCACCTTCAGGCAATTATGACAAGTTGGACAAAAAAGCCAAGAAAATCCGCTTCTTAGCAAATACGGTCTACAAAGAAATTGAAGTTAAATTATTTAATTATGATGGTATTTCTTCTATTTGTTAATTAATGGTTCAAAATATATTGTTTTTATTTTGTAATTATGTAGATTAATTAAACCAGATTGATATTCTTTCGAAATATTTATTTTACAAATTAGTATAATTACTATAATAATATGCATGTAAATTATGTAAAGTATCACTATTCACTCATCTCCATAGATTCACTTTCATCTGAATCAGAGTCATTAACAGAAATAATAAATTCAAAGTCCATGTCAAAATATTGCAAATACTGTTTTTCTGTGTCTTCAACATGCCGACATGCATTTGCCCACATAGTACTATCAATCATTTCGAGTCGTTCATTTATAAGTGACATAATGGATGTAAAATTTTGTGAAACATTTTTATTAGCCACGTAGTTTTTTAATATCCCCCATATATTTTCAATTGGATTTAGTTCCGGGTGATAAGGTGGTAGTCGTAGAATTTCAAAACCTTTTGATTGAATCAGTTCGTCAATAACGAACCTCTTGAATCTGTCCTTATTTTTTAAAATAAGATCGTACAGTTCAATTTTTTTCATTGATTCGTCAAACTGAATATTTTTTTTCTGCAAGCCACGTTTGCATGACTTGCTTATTTGAGTTGGAGTTGGGAGCTTTTTCTAATAAAGCATTGTGGTAAGAAGCGTTATATACAACGATGACAGCCTTTACCGGGAGATTGGGCAGTAATTGTGTGGTGAGCCATTTCTTATATTATAAATATAGCTGATGTGAAGAATCAAAGAAGAGCGTCAAAGAACATATAGCTGATGTGAAGAATCGACGCTCCGGGAAGTCTGCAGTCTGTGAACATGTACAGGATCGCCCCCGTCACTACATCAGATTTGATAGACCACAAATCCTCGCTAAAGAACACCGATTCCTTCCAAGGATGATTCGCGAGGCTATTGAAATCAAAAAACATCATAATTTCAATAGAGAAGATGGCTGGGTGCTACCATCTGCTTGGGATCCTATAATAAATAAAATTGAATCCCAACCCAAGCATACAACTGCAAGACTCCATGATACCATAAGTTCATACTGTGTAGATCGGAACAAAAGTTAAATTTTAATCTATGGTAACCGCGGTTAACTATGACAGCTGGACGTTGAACATCTCAGTCCTTCCCGTGACCATGGGTGCTGTAAAGCTCTCGAAACGTCGGGTAATTAAAAAGTTAAATATACGCGATAAATTCCGTAAAAACTAGTATTATTCCACTTGTGTAGTTTGCTTTATACACCAAACTAGCATTTGGAACAAATCCTTCACATCCACCAGCGTGAACAATTATGACCCGAGTACCTTTCGACAACTTTTTTTGCACTGCTGATACTCCTTTGACTGGTTTCCAGCACATGTTTTGCAGATGTGTTGTATGAACATAACTTTCATCTGTGTATACGATATAGCGGCCCTCGTCACGATATTTTTTTTAATTGCCTCAAATATTGAAAGCGTAACATTTGGATATCATGCTTTTCTACTAAAGCTTTACGGTTGTCATCTATTTTGGACCACTCGTAGCCCGATTCCTTCAAAATGATACGCAGAGTTTCTATACAACCGTTAAAACCAATTCTTTCTGTTAATACTTGTTTCAGCTTTCTTAACGTTGGTAATTCATTAAATTCTGTATGAAATGTCGCTATCGTTCTGCGAAGTATACCCATATCAAAATCATCCAGGTTAGACTTGGTACGCTTCCTTTTTTGGTTTTGAGGGCGATCTAAAAATTTTTTGTGACGTATCATTTGATGTACTAGCTTGCTTCTCTTCTTTCAAAATTCGTGTAATCGTAGATTCACTAACACCAACGGCTTGAGCAGTTCGCCATCTAGCGTCAGATAGTTTTTCCACTCCATTTTCCGCTTCATATTTCATTCGGCGGTACACTTTCGCAGTAATTTCTTTTGCCTGTAAAATGTATGCATGTAAATCACCATAAAAACGATGTATGATTAAATAAGATTTTAAGCAATAACGTATTATTTTACTTACTTGACTCCGTAAATGTTTTTTGGTCGACATGCTGACGGTACTTTTACAATCGAACGACGCGTGCTCCTACGCTTGAGTCTCACCGACAACCGAATGACCAATTACAATGGCATTTGTATATGTATTGCGTCCATATTTTAAATTTGCTTGTGTGCGTTAATGCGATAGTGGGGCGCGTCATTTCACCTTAGACGATCTATAACGTGTTTCGAGCCACAAAATAGTTTATATTGTATAGGGGTTAACGTTGATAGTTTACAAGTAATTTGAGATTGTAAACTTAGAATTTATTTACTTTATTTATTTATTTAATCTTTATTATACACCTTATACTAAGGGATATAAAGGGCGGACTTTAATGCCTTATGGCAATTTCTCCAGTCAACCCAGGATGATTTGAGAAACTGTGGCAGGTGTAAACAATCACTTCATATATTTAATATGTAATTATTTATTTCGTATCAAACCATTTATTTCCGAATATATGACTTTTCACAGCTTTAACAACCTTTGAGGTGAAGTAGACCTATTTCATTAAATATAAATAAAACAATGTTCGTCGTTCATTGTTCACAATATTGTAGGCTATAATGATCGGCACATGTGTATGAGAGTACTACCCGTGCTGTTAAAGAATGGGATTGAAAATGGCGACGCCTCTATTCACTTTTCGCACGCACACTTTCGCTATATACCTACCCGCCGGTAAAGACTACAAAAAAGTACGTTGCGATATGCGTTTTACGTATTTTCTATAACTTCGGTCTAACTTGTAATTAGAATCAATAATAACAAAATGCCGTAAACCATTTGCTTATTTAATTTTTTTTTAAATCTGTACAGTTTTGCTAATTTGTGAGCTACAACGCGTTGAGAGTTTTCTTCATAATTATTGTTGATGTTTAATATTTTTGTACATATAATATATTTACATACCATTGAGACATAAGTAACCATTTTTTAAAGTTTCGTTTGTCTGTTTGTAATCTTCGTGTAAAAATAGTGAGTAATACCAGGAGTGATCTAGAATAAATTATATCCGAAAAATTTTGAGATTCTTATAAAATAGAATTATTCATAAGATAAAATAAATTGACTTTAATGATTATCTTAAGTCTAAATAACGCAACATTGTTAGAAACCACCCAGGTGAAGTCAAAGCGTCTATAGTTTTTTTTTCAAATATTTTATCATTAATGGAAAATTTCCAATTAACGGAATAGCATAAAGTTATAACCATATTTCGATACTAACGGATTTTCGTTAATGGTACCGTGCATGTTGACGGTACGGGCATTGATGAGGCGCCATTTATAATCCCATTCTTTAGAGCCGTTATGCACTGTCGACTGGTTGACAGCAACTCAGTCTCTCGGCGACAAACATCGGCCGGGATACCACGCCGAGCAACAGTATTCCAAGTACATTCGGGCAGACTCTTGTGCGTCGCCACTGTGCGGCGAATCGCTGAGTCGCCCGGGCCATAGGCAACTAAGTGCGTAACCACCTATTTAAACTATAGAAAGTCACTGTCGCTGTCGACCGAGTCGCCTGCGACCAGTCGACAGTGTGTAAAGAGCCTTATCTGTCAGGACTATATCACAGAATAAATAATAGTACTAACTATACGTGCCCTTAGAATCGCAAATATTTTTTGTATACAACATGTATGTATACAAATCTAATAATGTTAAACCTTTATAGTATTTATTTTGATTTTTGGTTTGTAACATAAATTATTTATGAACGATATTTAGGTAAATGTCTTTCGAAATGCTTATGCAGTATAAGCCTTAAACGATGTCGTACAATATAATTAACATTATGTTTCATCAAAGAAGGTTCTTCAAAGTAAGGAGAATTTAACCTTATTCGTTCACGCATTCTAGATACTATATATACTGAATAAACGGATTAGAAGCCTAAGGTACTGATATTTTACAAAAAATCAAAACATTTTTTTTTAAATTAAATAAATAAATAAATTGTGTGTGTGTGTGTGTGTGTGTGTGTGTGTGTGTGTGTGTGTGTGTGTGTGTGTGTATGTATACGCACGGGAAGAAATGAGGTAATGGATATTGTACTAATTTTTATTACCTGTTTGTTTCTGATCATCTTTGTTAAAGCAGTAGCCGATTTAAAAAGCAATGGATTCGTAGGTGGCGGACATGTTCCTTTTCTCCGTTTGTTCACTAGCCATGATATTGGAATCACTATTATCGCCAGTAATGACACCAGAAATCGAAGAAACCGTCTTAAGCACCATGGCATCATGACTGTCTGTAAAATGAAAATAAAACTATGTAACATCATGAATATGTCAATAAGTAAATAATTAAGAATTATATATATATATATATATATATATATATATATATATATATATATATATATATATATATATATATATATATATATATGTTACTACTACTACTAGTAGTAGTAGTACTACCGCTCTCGGTTTTGGTTTCCAGGTATTGATTGCGTCCTTGAGCGCATGATTGGCTCCTGCGAAATATGCACGCAACTTCGAGGATCGCCGCCGCGTGTACCTATTTCCCTGTGGAAATATCCTGCTGACCCTTTCCGAAGGATACATCTCGACTTCCTCGGCCCCATCAACGGACATACGTACTTGGTGATCGTTGATGCGTATTCCAAATGGGTCGAAGTCTGCCGCATGAATACTTCTTGCTCTTCCATCGCAGTTATAGATAAATTATACGAATTCATGTCAAGGTTCGGTCTTCCAGAGACTATAGTGACTGATAATGGAACATCGTTTTGCTCCCGGGAGTTTTTAGACTTTTGTCATCTCAATGGTATTACGCATGTCACGTCATCTGCCTACCACCCGGCAAGTAATGGGCAAGCTGAAAGCTACGTGAAGGTAATTAAAAGGGGTATCAAGTCTAGTTTGTCAAGCAGCAATAACCTTAGAGAATGCAATTTAAATCTCTTAAAATACATTTTCGACTACCGCAATTCGGTCCATTCTACGACGGGTTTATCTCCTGCAGAAATAGTTTTTGGTCGCAAATTAAGATCCCGGTTAGATATTGAAAAGGACCAGGTCGGTGTCCCTCTTGATCCTGAAAAGGACCAATTGAAAAGAACCTAGCGGATCGGGTACTAAGAGACAGGAATCGAGGCTTCTCTCGATCCGGCCTCCTATCACGCCTACGTTGGGTTCGGGAACAACGTATGTGATCTCCGCAACGGAGTAACACACTAGGGCGATAACCTCTTCCTTTTCAGCAAGTAGGTTCAGACGGGGATTACGGGTCTTCCGAAGTCGTCCCGGTCCCGACGCCTTAATTCTTCGATGTGGACTGTATAACTTAAAGGATCTTGGGAATGAAACAGCAATTATCTTCAAACCGTTCCGTGAGAGAGTAATCACTTTTCCCTATACTGCTGGTTTTTCACTTTTCTTGAACTTTTTCCCGGATTTTCTTATTTATTTCCGAACTATTTCCTTGAATATTTCCCGAACGATTTCCAAACTATTCCCGAACGATTCCCGAACGATTTCCGAATATTTCCCGAACCATTTCCAAACTATTCCCGAACGATTCCCGAACGAATTGCAATAAAATCAATTTACTATCCTACCCCTAAGCTAAACGCGAAAGTGAGCCGCGCCATCTGCGCGCTTGCGCAACTTAATTACATGAATTTGTACTATTACTCTCTCACGTTTCACTCAATATCTTTATTTATTCAAATCATATACAAATACAATTTATCAATATAGGTAGTACAAAACAATATCTACACCATGATATACATCATATCCTCATATCATAAAAAACCTTTTATTTATTAAACGAAAACTGCCTATTTTACTCACAAGTTCGAAATCGAAATTTCTTAAATATTTAACACAGAAAGTTAAAACAATGTTTCTCACTTGAATTTATATATAAGCTAACCAATACAATAGTTTAATTTACATTTTTTCTATTTATTTCACTATTTAAAACACTTTTAAATTTCTTATACAAAACTATCATTATTTCACTTATACACAGGAATTTTCACATGAAAATAACACGGAATTTACCTTTTTAGCACGTACAATTAACCTGAAATATTTTACAAGTAATTTTTACATAAATCACTGAATTACAAACATTTTAAATTTTTACATATTCGGCCTCCTAAGGGCGTGGCCAGCGTGCTTCCGTGTACTCACGCTATGTGAACAACTAACTTTGCACGGCTCTCGGCTATCAGAAAAAATTAAATTATGAAATACACCAATTTTGACCATATTAGGCAAATTAAATGCTTTTATACAATTTTCGAACTGTATGAAACTATCTTTAATCAGATAACAATATAAATGAATGTTCTCATTAATCAATCATAACAAATAGGCATTTGTTTTCGTACAAAACGTATCAAACTTATACAAAACAACATTTATGCAATTAATATCCATTAATTCTGCCTATGCACAGAGTGATTATCTCGACCGGGGAACAAATCCGATCTTTAACTTCACTTTAATATTCTTATGAATTTACATCAATTGAAAGATGATTTCAACCGGGGAACAAACCCGGTAACACAATTTATATCTTAAATTCCTTACGAATTTATTAAGCGATATTACTTAGGAAAACAAACAAACTAGTCCGGCCTGGGAGTCGAACCCAAGACCTTCATATCATTAATTCGACATTTCTTAGAGATTTAACTAAGCATTCTCTTATCAGAGCGTCGTTGCTCGTGACTGCCCCCTTTTTTCATAGCAACGTCATCGGTTGATTTAATAAACTGAAACATTTTTATAGGCGCGTCGCCAACAATCTCCCCCCGTGCGTTAGCACCATCATTTGGGAGGCGTCGCGGGTACCAGGACTATTATTCTGGATGTAGGTCTCCTCAAGATACCTGTGCTAGTAATGACGTCAACCACTCTGGTGTGACCGTCTGGTCCCGGTAACGTTCTACTAATTTTACCTTTTGGCCACGTATTTCGTGGCAACGAATGATCTATTATCAAAACAATATCGCCTTCTTTAGGTTCCATGAACTTGCCATTATCACCTGTTCGAGGTATTAACGTAGGCATGTATTCTTTCAGCCATCTTGTCCAAAAATGGTCGGCTAACCTCTGTGCAGCTTTCCAATTGAGTTGACCCGTCAGATGTCGCTCTAAAAATAATCCAGGTGGTCGATCACCACATGAGCGTCCCAGAAGAGAATGATTGGGTGTCAAACCCTCTTCAGGACTATCCATACTGAATGTTACCAGAGGTCTGGAATTTACCGTATGCTCTGCTTCTAAAAGTAACGTATGTAGAACCTCCTCTCGTGGGCTCTTCTCCTTAAGCGTAGCGGTCAACGCAATTTTAATCGATCTTAATAACCTCTCCCAGGCGCCACCCATGTGCGGTGCTCCCGGAGGTATAAATTTCCATTTAATATATTTCTTAAATGACTCGTTTTTCATGCCCTCATAGCATTCTTCGCATGCTTTCAATAATTCTTTATTTGCAGCTTTGAAATTTGTCCCGTTATCGCTGTATATAACGGCTGGTTTTCCTCTTCTGGCGATAAATCGCCTTAACGCCATTATCATTGACGCTGGTGTCAATGAGGCTGCTAATTCCAGATGTACTGCTCTGGTGGTCAGACACGTGAATAAAACGCCCCAACGTTTTTCGTGTCGCCTTCCTATAGTCACACTCATAGGACCAAAATAATCTACAGCTGAGCATGTAAAAGGTGGCTCATGATGAGCTATTCTTTCCAGAGGAATATTTCCTTGTGGCACGTTTTGCGGCTTTGACCTGTATGTCCTGCACCACTGACAATGGTGTGACACACTTCGTACTACATTACGCAAGTTCAAGACGTAAAATTTCTGGTTCACCTCATTCATCACCGTCTGGTGATTGGCGTGTCCAAAATGATGATGAACTTCTCTAATCATCATTTTAACGATTTCGTGTTTACCGTCTAATATGACAGGTTTTCTACTTTCCTCGGTCAAATTAGACTTGAAAGGTAAACGTCCATTTAAACGGAGTAAGTTATCCTCTCCTATTTCCATAGATAATTTACTTAAGCGTGAACTTCTTTCAACGCTTTTGCCTGCTTTCAAACATTTTATTTCCGAATGAAAACACTCGTCTTGAATGAATTTCCAAATTAATATTTCTGCCTTTTTCAAGAGCGCTGTGTCCAACGCGCTATCGGGTCCTTTAACCGACTTTGCTAAAACTTTGTTGGAACACATAACCGACTTTTCGGTTGCGTCGTCGGGTCCTTTAACCGACTTTCTTAAACTCTTGAATTTTTCTACCGCTTGTAAGGTGCGTGTAGTTGCTCCAAGGAATTTCTTAAAGCTGCTAAATCGTCCGTAGTCGGGTAGACTTAACGGTTCTTGCTTTCTTAACGTATTTATGCCCTTTGGCGATTTTTCTTCACCTGTTTCTAAGCTATTTATGGTGTCCACTTGTTTGGGCCATAAATCAGGACTTTTCCTGAGGAATTCAGGTCCTTGAAACCAGCGATGACTTACATCGAAGGTGGAAGGAAAATTTCTAGTGGCGTCGTCTGCCACGTTTTGTGACGTTGGAACCCATCGCCATTCACATGGCTTACTGTGATCTTCGATCTCAGCCAATCGATGAGCAACGAATGGTTTAAAAGCGCGAGGATCCGACTTAATCCACGCTAACACTGTACGTGAGTCTGTCCAAAACACTCTCTCGGACATCTCGTACTTGCTCTCTTCACTAACCGAAGCAGCCAGTCTGCTGCCCATAAGAGCTGCTTGCAATTCAAGCCTTGGAATCGAAATTGGTTTCAATGGCGCTACTCTTGCCTTTGCGGCGATCAGCGTAATCCGCCTTATTCCTTGCTCGTCCGTGGTGACGTAATACACCGCGGCAGCGTATGCTTTTTCACTAGCATCCGTGAAAGTATGTAACCCTCCTTTGCCGATGCCTTCAGCAACGGGTCTAGGTACTTCTAAGTGACCTAATTTCTTCACTTCCGATATCCATTTACAAAATAACACGTGTAACTCGTGTGAAACTTCTTCATCCCAAGAGATGCCTGTCCTCCATACTTGCTGGATCAGCGACTTCCCTTGAATCGTTATGGGTGATGCGAGTCCCAAAGGATCGAAGACTGACATCACAGCGCTAGTTATCTCCCTCTTCGTAGGCGGTCGTAAACCCTCCATCACCTCTTCCGGTGTGCTACGAAGACTTGTGGAAAAACTTATTATATCCCGTTTGATATTCCAA